CTGAAATGAAAAAAATATTGCCCCCCACAATTACCGCTTCCGCAAATTTTTGGGCCGCATGCCGCTCCAAAATTAGTTTCTCCTTGAATTTTTTTTCACATAAACGTTTTACTTGTGCGTATATTGTTCTGATCGATTCAAACGCACGTGTGATAAATCGATTTGTAAATAAAAGGTCAAAAATCGGGATGCCAACATGAAGTTGTGTCAGCTAATTGCCGTGGACAAGTAGTTATTGAACACACAGTTATCCGAAATGCATCTCGTTTTACCTATGAAGACCTGTTTTAGGAGACAAAAAATAAAAATCTTTCGTTAGATGACCACGGTCACATCAATATTGTAATAACCATCGTCATCCCCGATCATTGTTTCAACAGACATAGACATATCTATCTTGAATGAAATTAATATTAAACTCACATGATATTTTTAAAAATCACAGATTTCGATGAAAACTTATATATTTAGATAGATATATATATATATTATATGTGTTATTCAGTTTCTTATGCTTTATTTATACGGTATTGTACAAGTAATGTGCGGAAACGCATTTTTGTTAACTCTCTCTCTGGTAATAAATAGTTCCCAAACTACAAAAAATAAAAGTTAAAAGACGAGGCCCATATCCATATATCGTCACAATAGCAATATAACTATCTTATTCATGATGTTGTTGAAATATTCACCTCACTCATTATGTTGATCCTTATAATGGATAAATAGTTCCAATTGGATGTCTAGCAGCCAATAAACAATCATTACCATATACACATGATATAATGAAAACAACTATATAAAAAAACAATTCATATTTTTCAGGGGCACTTTTTCGGATACGTACACATTTTTAAATTTTATTCAACATATGTGATTGACCTAACTATAACATAATCCCTCTAGTTAAACTGCATCTGATATGCTTCCTTAATATATACACATGTATGAATTTAAATAAAAATTCACGCAGAAAAGGCTAATTGACGAAAATAATCAAAATTAACAAATCCACAGCCAAACAAGAAAGTTTGGTATGGTACAGGTACCAATACGTCAAATTATATGCATAAGAGCATGTTTCTCCTCCTTTTTCTATGAAGTAACCTAGTTTTAACATGAACATAAATTCCAAATCGCACAATTTAAAAAAAAAATATACCGCCCGCTTCACTTGTACAGCAACCACCTCAAAAAAACTCATTTTCAAGAAAAAAATACAATCAAAAAAATTTCGCTCGCTCGCTCCATATTTTTTTAAGCTTTTTTCCGAAGAACTTCAAATCAAATTTGTGTGGCCTCAAGATATGGTCATAATCTCAATTCAAATTTCCAATGGAGTTTGCAACCATAATCATGATAATTATCAATTTAAATACATCATAAAAGTCTTAAATAAATAATTTTAAAGCAGTGTAAGGGAGGTAATCCAACATTGTACAACATTGTACAATTTTGTTTTTGGATTACCTCCCTTACACTGCTTTTAAATTGTCCATTAACCAGGAAACCCTTGTTTTTTCCCCTTTTTTGCCCCCAATTCCTAAACGGTTTGAGCCATAACCCCCCAAAGCCAATCTTAACCATCCCTTTGTGGTATGGAAACTTGTGGTATAATTTCAGAGACCGAGAGAGATTCATACACTTAAACACAAGTTATTGTCTGGAAGTTACAAAAATGCTTATTTTTGGCCCCTTTTTGGCACCTAATTCCTTAACTGTTGGTACCATAACCCCAAAAATCAATCCAAACCTTCCTTTTGTGGTATTGAACCTTATGATTAAATTTCATAGAGATCCATTCACTTAAACTAAAGTGATTGTGCGAAAACCAATGTGTCTTCGGACGACAATGACGACGACGCCAACGTCATACCAATATACATTGATATACAACCACAAAAATGTTTTGCGGTCATATAAAAATTTCAACTGGGCCCCTGGAGGAATAGAGTTAAGTGTCAAAATCTTAAAATAGACCCAATAAAAATAAACGAAGTGACACCCTAGCATTTATCTTGTTTAAAGCAGTGGATCCATGAAAGTGACCCAAATTTTAAGTCTAAAGATTAATTGTCAGACACTTAACTTGGACAATGTATTCTCAAGGTGCAATGTAAGCCTGATCAGTTAAATAGATATAAGGTTCTGTTCAACACTGCATACAGTATTGCAAAAAAAAGAGGGACACCCTTCAGTGACTATGAATTTATTCTTGAAATCCAGTGCAAAAATGGTGTTGATGTGTAAGCAGTACTTCAATATTGAAGGTTGTAAACTGTTTATTCGCTGGATAGCCCATTATATGAAAAATAAATGTGGATAGTGTCCACATGTGGACACAGATGATGCCCCCGCTTGCATATCATATAGTTATAAAGGGACATAACTGAAGAACGGTAAAAGTGACGCTACCCAAATTTGAACTTGATCTGAGTTTTGTGGTAATAAGCATTGTGTGTAAGTCTCATAACATTTGGTTGAGGCTAACTTAAGTAGAGAACAGAAACTAAAAATTCAGCAATTTTTCTATTTGTAAACACGCATAACTCTAGAACGGTAAAAGTGTTGCCACCTAATTTCGTACTTAATCTGTATTATGTAGTAATAAGCATTGTGTATAAGTTTCATAACATTTGGTTGAGGCAAACTCAAGTTAGAGAACTGAAACAAAAAAATTGTACTTGATCCTTACTGAGTTTTGTGGTAATGAATATTGTGTATAGGTTTCATAATGTTTGGCTGGGGAAAACTTAAGTTACAGAATGGAAACTAACAAATTTTGCAATCTTTCTATTTATAAAGGGGCATAACTCAATAATGGTTAAAGTGACACTACCCAAATTCAACTTGATCTGTGTTTTATCAGTGGAAGTCAAAATTAAACATTGCATTGTATAAACCAATGATTGTAGTTGATTCAACTATAATCATGGTCAAAGGAAGATAACTCCAATTTTATAAAAATATATTATATAAACTTGATATTTAGAAGAAAATAAAAATTTTGCAATTTTTCCTTTTAAAAAGGGGCATAACTCTAGATCGGTTAAAGTGACACCACCAAAATTCAAACTTGATCTGTGTTTTGTGGTAATAAGCATTGTGTATAAGTTTCATAACATTTGGTTGAGGCAAACTTAAGTTAGAGAACGGAAACTAAAAATTTTGCAATATTTCCTTTTATAAAGGGGCATAACTCTAGATCGGTTAAAGTGACGCCACCAAAATTCAAACTTGATCTGTGTTTTGTGGTAATAAGCATTGTGTATAAGTTTCATAACATTTGGTTGAGGCAAACTGAAGTTAGAGAACGGAAACCAATTTCGGGACGTACGGACGGACGTACGTACGTATGTACGTACAGACGGACAAGGGTAAAACTTAATGCTCCCTCCGCTACGGCGGGGGCATAACAAAACATCACATGCTGTTCAAATATGATGAAACAAACTAACCTTACTTAATCAGTTTAATTGAAGTCTGGAGCTGGCATGTCAGTTAACTGCTAGTAGTCTGTTGTTATTTATGTATTACTGTCATTTTGTTTATTTTCTTTGGTTACATCTTCTGACATCAGACTCAGACTTCTCTTGAACTGAATTTTAATGTGCGTATTGTTATGCGTTTACTTTTCTACATTGGCTAGAGGTATAGGGGGAGGGTTGAGATCTCATAAACATGTTTAACCACGCCACATTTTTGCGCCTGTCCCAAGTCAGGAGCCTCTAGCCTTTGTTAGTCTTGTATTATTTTTAATTTTAGTTTCTTGTGTACAATTTGGAGTTTAGTATGGCGTTCATTATCACTGAACTAGTATATATATTTGTTTAGGGGCCAGCTGAAGGATGCCTCCGGGTGCGGGAATTTCTCGCTGCATTGAAGACCTGTTGGTGACCTTCTGCTGTTGTCTGTTCTATGGTCGGGTTGTTGTCTCTTTGACACATTCCCCATTTCCATTCTCAATTTTACTCCAAAAGCACATTAATTTTGTATCTTATTGAGTTATGAAATATTTCATGTAAAAGTAGGATCTGGGAATTAGGTTGTGGACCTTTTAGTTTGGAGTGTCAAAGGTCCTGGACCTTCCAGTACCAAATGTTAATTTGAACCCCTGCCAATGCTGGATCACTATCCCTATGTCGAGCTTTCTGCGACACAAGTCGAAGGCCTGACAAAGAGGGTGATTAATTGGTCCTTTTTGTTAATTTTTTACTTTTTGGACACAATTTTCAGTCTGTGACTGGTCCAGCTTCAGGCATGTTACTTTTTGGCAATTCTACCAATCTCCTAAATTTATCAAAACTAACGGCCTAATATGCATACAGTAATACACTATTAGTCTAAAAAATGTTTACCTAAAATCCTAATAATACCTCTGTTATGCAATATTCGGATGTTTTCTAATTCTACTAACACCACATAGCTTAATTTATTATTGATGTTTTGAAGTTGAAGATTTGAAAGAGGCTATATTCACATTATTGGTAAATACATATTTTTGTTCAATACTACTATGATAATTATATTTTCAAATTATATTCAGTGTATGTCGAATTGACACTATTATATAATATATTTTACACAATGTATCCTTGAATGCTGCACACTTATATCATATATGTTAATTTGGCATTCCATAGACAAATTTCTTCAATATGATAACTTTTCTATTTTTAATAGCCTACTTTCTATTAATAGACTGATATTGGTCAGTTTGATACGATTTTTAACGTGTATAGAAACGACTAATTGTTTAAGCCAGAGACTGTATAAATCAAGGACGTATCTATGTAATATTTATGGAATAAATCCTTGGTTTCTCGTTTTTGTTGTTGCTAAACTCTAATAATTTTACTCCGTAAACGGTAAAGTACAAAACACTAGTATTTTTAATTTAGCAAGTAATGTCAGTAATTTTGCTTTAGCGATTAAGTTCTGAAAAACCGACATCAAAGTTATATTCTACATAAATGATCGCTGCTTACTTAAATGTTTACCTTTTCTTGAATCAAGCACAAAAATAAGTCATGTTAATTTCACAGCAGAACAATAACATTATCAAAGGGAGATAACTGAAGTATATATAAATATGGAACGCCTACTGTATCAAAGCCAGCAGAAGTCAATTTAAGAAATATTTCCTTCGTGTCATGCTCTATGCTCCTTTTAACATGGGTAGGCATTATATTTGTCGATATTTTACACTGAGCGTTACATGAAGGAATTATTTCGATTCTAATAGGACAAATACAGTATTTTTTTAGGTCGAATCGTACAAAAATACCGTAAAAATGTTTGGCTGTTCTCGTATCCTCCCCGTTGAGTCTGTACATAACATTTTCGTATTTAATAAGTTTTAAAACTAAACGCAGGGTAAATTTATGTTGTTTGATAAACAATACATAATAAAATTGTATGTAAGCTGCTAAAATCTATATATTTTATTAGAATAACCGGATATGAAAATAACGACTGTTACGAAATTATAAGGCGTATTACGCCTGGATTTGTGGCGTAAACCAGGCGTAAGTGGTAGTTACGTGTCCAGATCCAGGCGTAACTAAGGGAGCAGGAAACGTAAATTTGTAGCACTTACAGGCGTAGAAAAAAGTGGTAAATCTGGCGTAAATTGAAATAAGCAACATAGCCAGAAATTAGTAGTACTTTTGCTAATTAATATTCATAATATGTAAATGAGAATTGTACCACGTGATAATAGTTTGAACTGATCTGGCTTGATATCATTAAAATCTTTAAAACACGGATATTATAAGTTGCCCGTCACAGAGTCCTTGTTTATAATCACTCTGATATTTCCGTAAAGTTGTCAGGCGGTCAAAATCAAAACAATGAACGCGAATTTAGTGAATTTTTCGTGTTTTCGTGAGTTTATTCTTCTTGAAATAGAGACATTTTAACTTTACGTGGGAACCTAGAGTTCAACGACTACACATACAAGGTTTGGACTTGCTTATTCTTTGGACATTCAAGTTTCAAGTTTCACCCCGGCAACCTGTATTTCTAATGACCTTGTTAGCCAATTTTCAACACGAAGTTTGCAAATTTGACGTTTCAGCCATTTTAGCCTGTATTTTATACTGCAATGTTAAAAGCCTCTCGCTTCGATTTTTAAAATAGCTCAGGAACCTTGATTTTTGCAACGCCAGTCATATTTCGTTTAAATGGTGTATATTGTTGTGTATATTTATTTTCTGCCCCGGCAACCTGCCTATCACTTAAATCAAAGTTAAAACAGACATTTTTTCTAAATTCCCTATCATTTCAATATAATTTCCGTCACCCGTATCCGATTTCTTTAGTATAATATTCAAATAAGCAAAGTGGCGTTGATTTCTGGATATGAGGCGTAAATTTTCCTACGGGCGTAAATCTTAATACCCATAATGCTTTGTTTAGAGGATCATGGGAATTTTTTTCAAAATTTGGATCTCTGGTAATAGTTTTCAAGAGTTGGACATATGACAGCATGATATATTCAGGGGAAATTAGCTTTTTTTTGTGCTTCTTGGAAGATTTGACATTGGAATTATGGCATCAAATTGATCAATGAAAATAATGTGAAATGAAAGGAAAGTAGTATACATGGTAAATGATAATTGTGTGAGTAAATTAAACTACGATATTAAGCTTTTATATTTTAATATTTCAATTTCATGAAACCCTCATCCTTGGATAATAATAGTTAAACATTTAAGTCTTTCACAAGATAAATTGCAGTATTATCATTGCATGATTTTTTAGTTCAAATGACATTAATTTTCAAAACAACTTAGTGAAAATGCTACTTTTAAAAAGTAACTGTCATAATTCTTATTTAAACTTAAAATTGTTTGAGCCAGTGACTGACAAATATGTATTTATCTATAAAGTTTCTTCACTAATTGATATTTTAAGTTTTATGTCAAACAATGAGAAACTTGAGCAACAGTTCAAGTTTGTATCAAATACACAAAGTACACAGCTAGAGTAATACACTGATATAAATTAAATGTAGTATCATGTAAGAATATTACGCCTGGTTTATTTATTGACTAGGCGTACTCATTTCCATATTACGCCTGGTTTTCTGTCGACCAGCCGTACTCGTTTAAATATTACGCCTAAATTCACACCTGGTTTCCGCCTTAGTTACGCTTGGTTTCCGAGGCTGGTTGACGCCCGAACATGCATTTCTTAAACAGGACAATGACGCCTGGAAAAAGTATGGTTTCTACGACTGGTTTCCGTGTCATTTACAGGCGTCACATTTCGTACAGGGAGAATATAAACAGTAAATTTGTGCGCATATGTCAAATATATTTTGTGCTAATTAGAACACGCGGCTTTGTTTACAACTCGTAATAAGGACATCGTATAAGAATTAGTTATGGACTTATGATACAGGTCTTCTTATTTGTATCTCCACTTTTTCAAAACAAGATTTGCATAATTTCTGTGACGCTTTTCAGAAACCTTGAAAATGATATCAAAAACTATACTGGCCAAATCGAAACAAAATGAAAAAGACGATTTGTTTATTCAACCGTTTATAATAGAAAAGATTTAAAAAGATACAGTAAGTTCTGTCTCATGTCCTGAATAACATTTGGAAGAAGGTTCAAGCGGAAGATACCACAAGGATATTAAAACTCATAAATTATAATACAGACTGACGGTTATGCCATAAGGAAAAACGATCAAAACGATCGAAAGTATAAAGATGCCCTTCGTAAGGGTGTCCAAGTAATCATTTCTTCATTCGTTATTTTTTTTTTAAGCAAGATAATCAAATAATAAAACGGCATGCGCAGTGGTCCGTCCGCCATCGTTCGCACCCGTTTATAAAGATCGATTTTGTGTTAAATAAGTTTTACTTTAATGGTCATAATTATAAATTAGCTGTTTATAAAACTTTGAATTTTTGAAATACTAAGGATTTTCTACCTCAGGAATAGATTACCTTAGATGTGTTTGGCAAAACTTTTAGGAATTTTTGGCCCTCAATGCTCTTCAACTTCGTACTTTATTTGGTCTTTTTAACTTTTTTGATTCGAGCGTCACTGATGAGTCTTTTGTAGACGAAACGCGCGTCTGGCGCAAATATTAAATTTCAATCCTGGTATCTATGATGAGTTTATTATTAATAAGTGTATTGCATAAAAAAAATAAATAAAATTCTTTTTTTATTGTTTTAAAATAAATTGACATTCGAAAAACGTGTTTTTGGTGGATTTATTGGTTGACAGTTTTGACTTTTCAACTTTTTACACTATACTTCCACAAAAATCTGAACTGGTCAAACCTTTAAATTACTAATTAATTTGAAAAAAATAACCAATTCAACACTGTAATTTAGCATGATTAGATCTTTGAACAGTGTTTTTCTCGTTATATATATATTAACATTGATTTTGTTATCGATAAGACACGGATCGATAACGGTCTCCGAATTTGGATATTACCCAAAATTGGCGTTTTCTGTGGAAAAAAAGATGGTTTCAAAGACAAATTAAGGAGGTAAAACAACACCACATTTAAACGTCATATTACGACTTTGTATGGTTTCAGAAGAGTTGCGGCTCCATGAAATCGGTCTTTTTCTTTAGTAGTATAGATGACTCATAAGGCGTTGCAAATTACTTAAATCACGAAAGTTTTTACCACATCCATGACTAATGTGGCAATGCCAGTTACCACAAAATCACGAATGTTTTTACCTATCCACGACTCGCACATGTGGCGATGCCCAAATCACGATTATTGTTTAACCACATCCAATACTCTTGTGTGATTCTAGCTACTAAAATCGTGAAAGTTTATATCATATCCAAGGCTCATGCGGGCTAAACTCTCGGAAGTTTTTAAATTTTATAACCAGAATCTTATGAAAAATCCATACCCTCTGGAAGTAAATGGTCATTCCTTTATTACTAGTGTATATTCTACTGTGCATTTCAAAGCTTGGTCTCTTTCCCACACATACATGACATAACACATTTAAAATGTTTAACAAAAGTGTGTTTTCTCTAGCGTCTCTGTAAGTCACTACTTACCCATTTACCACATGCATTACAGTTATTATTTATCTCCAGTGTGTGTACTGATGTGTAACATTGACTAACCTATTTACCACATACATTACAGTTATAATTTTATCTCCAATGTGTGTTCTGATTTGTAACCTTGACTAATCAATTTACAACATGCATTACAAGTATAATTTATTTCCAGTGTGTGTCCTGATTAGTAACATTGACTAACCCAATAACCACATACATTACAGTTATAATTCATCTCAAGTATGTGTTCTCGTGTGTAACATTGACTAACCTATTTACTACATACAATTACAGTAAGTTATTATTTATCTCCAGTATGTGTGTTGGTGTGTAACATTGGCTAACCCATTTACCACATACATTACAGTTATAATTTATCTCCAGTGAGTGTTCTGATGTGTAACATTGACTAATCCATTTACCACATACATTACAGTTATAATTTTATCTCCAATGTGTGTTCTGGTGTGTAGCATTGACTTATCCATTTACATGCATTACAATTATAATTTATCTCCAGTGTATAATCTGATTGACTAACCTATTTACCACATACATTACAGTTATAAATCACCCAAGTGTGTTTTCTCGTGTGTAACATTGACTAACCTATTTACCACATACATTACAGTTATAATTCATCTCAAGTGTGTGTTCTGATGTGTAACATTGACTTACCTATTTACCACATACATTACAGTTTTAATTAATCTCCAGAGTGTGTTCTAATGTGTAACATTGACTAACCCATTTACAACATACATTACAGCTATAATTTATCTCCAGTTTGTGTTCTGATGTGTAACACTGACTAAATTCATTTACCACGTACATTACAGTTATAATTTATCTCAAGTGTGTGTTCTCGTGTGTAACATTGACTATCCCATTTATTTTACCACATACATAACAGTTATAATTTATCTCAAGTGTGTGTTCTCGTGTGTAACATTGACTATCCCATTTACCACATACATTACAGTAATAATTTATCACCAATGTGTGTTCTGATGTGTAACATTGACTATATATCCATTTACCACATACATTACAGCTATAATTTATCTCCAGTTTGTATTCTGATGTGTAACATTGACTTACCTAATTACCACGTACATTACAGTTATAATTTATCACCAATGTGTGTTCTGATGTGCAACATTGACTTATCCATTTACCACATACAATTACAGTTATAATTTATCTCAAGTGTGTGTTCTCGTGTGTAACATTGACTAACCCATTTACCACATACATAACAGTTATAATTTATCTCAAGTGTGTGTTTTCGTGTGTAAATTTGAACATGTTACCACATACATAACAGTTATAATTTATCTCAAGTGTGTGTCCTCGTGTGTAACATTGACTGACCCATTTACCACATACATAACATTTATTATTTATCTCCAGTGTGTGTTCTGATGTGTCTCTGTACCATTGACTAGATATTAGAAGATGTGGTATGAGTGCCAATGACTATACGTTTACCGCATTTATATACCATGTACATACATGCATATATCACTTTCATAAAGGCCTATCAACATTGCCAATCCTGTGTAACTCTTTACAATAAATATCACATTTCTTAAGTTGACACATATCAATTTATTAAGTTAAATTATCAGAAATATGTCTTTCGTGTGTTTCTGCCAGCTTGAACGATCACCAAACTCTCTAATACACACATCACATTTATAAGTTTTATCACCAGTAAGTATGTATTCTCATGTCTCTCTGCAATGTTGAATTATCACTAAGCCCTTTAACACATAATCACATTTCTAAGGTTTATCACCAGTGTGTGTTCTCATATGTATATCTAAGTTTATTCTTTGATTAAACCCTTTACCACAAATATCACATTTATAAGGTGTATAAACAGTGTGTGTTCTCATGTGTTTGTGCAAGTTTGAAGAAACAACAAACCCTTTACCACACATATCACATTCATACGGTTTATCACCAGTGTGTGTTCTTATGTGCGTCCTTAAGTTTGAATTCTGAGCAAATCTTTTACTGCATACATCACATTTATAAGGTTTATCACCAGTGTGTGTTCTTATGTGTATCACTAAGGTTGAACTATGAGCAAAACTTTTACCGCATATACCACATGTTATATTAGGTTTATCACCAGTATGTGATTTCATCTTTTGTAAGTTTTTTAAGGTTGAAATATGACTAAACTCATCATCTATATAAGGTTTATCATCAATGTGTGTTCTCGTGTGTCTCTGCAATGCTGAACTATCAGCAAACCCTTTATGACATATATTACATGTTTCAGGTTTATCACCAGTATGTAATTTCATCTTTTGTAAGTTTTGTAAGTTTGACATATGACTTAACTCATCACCTATAAAAGGTTTATCATCGATATGTGTTCTCGAGTGTCTCTGCAACGTTGAATTTTGAGCAAATGCTTTACCACATACATCACATTTATACGGTTTATCACCAGTGTGTATTCTCATGTGTCTCTGCATATCATAACTCTGAGTAAACCCTTTACCACATATATCACATCTATAAGGTTTATCACCAGTGTGTGTTCTTATATGTCTCCATAAGCTTGGACTTTGAGTGAACCTTTTACCACAGATATTACATTTATACGGTTTGTCACCAGTGTGTGTTCTTATGTGTATCCCCAAGGCTGAACTTTGAGCAAATCCAATACCACACATATCACATTTATACGGTTTATCACCAGTATGTGTTCTTATGTGGCTGTTTAAGTTTGAACAGTGAGCAAAACTTTTACCACATACATCACATCTATAAGGTTTATCACCAGTGTGTGTTCTTATGTGTCTCCTTAAGGCTGAACTATGAGCAAACTCTTTACCACATATATCACATTTATATGGTTTATCATCCGTATGTGATCTCATCTTAATTTGTAAGTTTAAACCATTACTAAATTTATCACCTATTTCAGGTTTATCATTCGTGTGTATTCTAGTCTGTCTCTGCAAAAGTTGGCTCTGGCTCAATGCTTAAACCACATACATTTCATTTGTTTGGTTTATCATCAGTGTGATCTCATATGAATCTGTGAGTGTGTTGCTCAAATTCTGCATTATGTGTTTTGACAGATTTGTCCAACTCAGCATAATATTTTTTCATGCGTTCCTTTTCTAATGCAGCATCAATATCCTGATTGTTTCCTCCAGCATGAAAGGTGATGTTTCCAATATAAACTAAACTGTAGTTTGATCAAGGGAGGTAATTACAGATTTTTCTGATTTTGTGATGTCTGACAATTCATCTGTTTCTGTACACTGTTTTCAACTCATTTTCTTTGAGTGGCATGGAACCTAAATAAGACAGAAGTTAACTGGTATAATAAACAATGTTTCAATATTTGGATACTTGAATTAAAGTTTCACGAGGGAAAATCAATAAGAATATTTCAATCAGGAATCAATTATGATTTATTGGTCCTTTTTGTTAATTTTTACTTTTGGGACACAATTTTCTTTTTGACCCTTCTAAAATTGTAAATATTTCCAAACTGATATTCCATGCTTGTGTCTGTGACTGGCCCAGCTTCAGGCATGTCAGGAAAGATTGACGTTTCACAAACATGTTAACCCCACCACATTCTATATGTGCTTGTGACCCTCTTAGCTTAAGTCATATCATGAAGGGTTGAGCTCTCACAAACATGTTAACCCCACCACATTCTATATGTGCCTGTGACTGTCTCAGCTTGCATTTCAATGGTTGGATTAAGTTGCTTCCTGACACATATATTTTAAAAAAATTTATATTTAACTCTGTTGGATAGGACTTTGTCTAATTGGCAATCCTACCCAATCTCCTAAATCTATCAAGTTTATAAAAATAATATGTATAAACACATGATAGTTATAGATTGGAATCTTCTGCCACAACAAATAGTATCATGCAGTACAGTACAGGGATTCAAGAGTATGATCTCAGAATCTGCTCTCATCCCCATTTTCTATCCCTAACTATTTTGTTATCAAATGTATATAGTTTTATCTAAATGAAATTTTACAAATGCACATACATTATTTTGATTTTTTGATTTTGTTTCTTTTTATTTTTCTTGCTACAATGTAAATTATAAAATTTTATAGTCGACGCCCGGCGAATAATCTTCAATAATTGAAGGATCGCTAGAAACTTAAAGAAGAAGATGATAAAGTCTACAAATTTATCACCTGAAATCCTAATAATACCTCTGTAATGCAATGTCCAGATGTTTTCTAATTTTAATAACACCACATAGTTAAAATTTATTATTGATGTTTTGAAATTGAAGATTTGAAAGAGGCTATATTGACATTATTGGTAAATATTTTTTTTGTTCAATACTACTTTGATAATTATATTTTCAAATAATATTCAGTATGTCTAATTTACACTATTATATTGAAAATAATACAATGTAATGTATCCTTGAATGTTGCACATGTATATGTTAATTTGGCGTTCCATAGACAAATTTCATATTTTTAATATAAACCTAGTACTTTCTATTAATGGATTTATTTTGGTCATTTTGATACGAATTTTAACGTGTATAGAAACGACTAATATAATTTTGTATCAGCCAGAGACTGTTTAAATCAAGGACGTATCTATATATGTAATATGTTTATAATAAATCCTTAGTATGTTTAATTTAGCAAGTTATTTTGTTTTAGCGATTCAGTTCTAAAAACCGACACCAATTATATGTTCTACATAAATGATCACTGCCTACAGTACCACATGTTTACCTTTTCTTGTACATGTTGTAGTCAAATACAAAAATATGTCATCTTTGTTTCACAGCAGAATAATAACATTACCAAAGGGAGATAACTGAAGTATTTTATATATGGAACGCTTCTGTATCAAAACCAGCAGAAGTCAATTTAAGAAATAATTCTTTCATGTCATGCATGATCATTTGAACATAGGTAGGCATTATATATTTGTCGATATTTTACACTGAGCGTTATATTAAGGAATTATTTCGATTCTAATAGGACAAATACAGTATTTTTTTTAGGTGGAAGCGTACAAAAATACCGTAAAAATGTTTGGCTGTTCTCGAATCCTCCCCGTGGAGTCTGCATGTGTAACAGTGGTTTGATTCCGCCAGTGTACTTTATCCGGCGGAAGAAAATCCCCAGTGATTTTTATCCACCAACGAAAATTCACTAGGTTTTTCTATCCGGGTCCAGTGTAAAACATCCACCAGTCATTATAAGGTTCTAAAAAGGGTTTTTTGAAGGGGAAATATATATAAAATGTGGCTTTATAGTTTTTAGTGTATTTGAAACTTGCATAGTTGATTTATGTAAAAAGTGGAGAGTTTTCATCCAAGGAATGTTCACACTAGTGTTTTTAAACAAGGAATGATTACACTAGTGATTTTGTACCGGAATGATTGCACTAGTTATTCCATACCGGGATTAATTACACCAGTGCTTTGGATCCATCCATACATTGATGAAGTGATAAGTACTCATTTTCAACGCACGATATAAACACAATAATGCTTATTAACGAATAAGATTTAAATAATTTTTCTATGCAAATCTATCAAATCACATGCTTTTAAAATTGTCACTAATTGTAATATTTATTTTTACTGGATTGCCGAAGTATTTCTGTGTATTTGCTTTTCGGTCGACTTGGAAAGAAAATCATATCTTCTATGTCAATATTAAAGGATGCTTCTATAATTGAAACTTTATGTAAGAACAAATCTGCTCTTTAAATTTGGCTTGTATCATGTTCAATGTCCTGATCATTGATAAAGTATTTTGAGTTATAAAACATCCTCCTCATTATCATCAATATTATTTACTAGATTGACTCAGATTAATTAAACTGGTTCCTTGAAAATCATTTTAATTTTAACCCATTTATTTATGTAAACAATAAACCGGTCTAATATCAACAAAACAACGATATCAAGATCGACGCTTTCACACTATTTACATCCAATATTCTCTAGTGAAAAACAGTTACCCGGAATAAATACACGGCGGAATGAAAGTACGCTTACACATGTACATTACATTTTCGTATTTAATAAGTTTAAAAACTAAAAGCAGGGTAAATATATGTTGTTTGATAAACAATATATAATAAAATTTTATGTAAGCTGCTAAAATGTATATATTTTATTAGAATAACAATTAAAATAACGATAATATAAACAGTAAATTTGTGCGCATGTGGCAAACATATTTTGTGTTAATTAAAACACGGCTTTATCCTTAAAGTGCATTACATAATAACATCAATTTCTCTCTGCGCTTCACTTTTAAAAATAAATAAAATACCAAACAATACATAAAAGTTAAACATAAATTACAAAGACCAACTAACACGAAACACACATGCATATAAAAATTAATAAAGGAATAATAAAAAAAAAAAAAAAACACTAAAAAAAAAAGAAAAATGCATGTACCCTACGGGAGCTACCATTTGATTTTTATGGAGGGGGGGGGGGGGGGGGGGGGGGGGGGGGGGCTAGGATGAAATTTGAAAAAAATAGGCAGGACAGGAGTTTTGAGTTAAAAAAAAAAAGGCAGGATGAACAACTTGGCAAAAAAAAAGGCAGGATGGCAATTTATGTAAAAAAAGTCCGAATAAACTAATAAAAAAAAATGCAGGACCGAATAGAGTGAAAAATAAAAAGGCAGGACAGAGATTTAAACTAAAAAAAATGCAGGACAAAATTTTCATCCTAGCCCCCCCCCCCCTAAAAATAAAATGCTAGCTCCCTAAAAGTATGTAAAATCTACAGGAAATCCTTAAAAGCAGTTCGAAATAAGTGAGTCTTGAGTTGCTTTTTAAAAACATCTAACGAATTTACACTCCGCAAGGACGATGGCAAACTGTTCCAAAGTGTAGACGCGGCCTTGTCAAACAATTAAAAAGCATAATAAGGACGTCATAATTTATTAGAATTAGTAATGGACTTAAGGCCTTGCGGTCATAAAAATTTCGAGCACGATTATAGTACTCAGACTCAGAAATCAACCTATCAAAATACTGTATTTGGTTTTTCGAGCACAACTTTTGTACTCCGAGTACGGAGTAAAGTTTTATGACCGACACCCCTGGTACATGTTTTCTAATTTGTATCCCTTTTTCAAAACAAAATTTACACAATTTTTGTAACGATTTTCAGAAATCTTGAAAATGACTATCAAAAACTATACTGATCAAATCGAAACAAAATGAAAAAGATGATTTGTTTATTCAACCGTTTATATCAAAATAGATTTAAAAATATACAGTTAGTTCTGTCTCATATCCTGAATAACATTTGGAAGAAGGTGCAAACGAAGTATACCATTACAGGGATATTCAAACTCATAAATTGTACTACAAACTGACGGTAATGCAATAACGAATAAAATGCTCCGCTGGGCGCAGCTTGATACGACCGCAGAGGTCGAACCCTGAACAGTTGGGGCAAGTATAGACACAACATTCAAGCTTGATACAGCACTGAATTTGGATTGTGATTAAATATTTGACACAGCATAAGTTTCTGACACAGAATGAATGTGGTCTAAGAACTTAAAAAAATTTAAATTACCTATTCAAACCATATCATTATTATTTGCTTTTATATATAAATCAGAAATAACCAATTTAAAATGGAAAATTTTAAAGCAAAAAAAAAGGAAAAAAAAAATTCAGAGAGATCCATACACTTGAACACAAGTTATTGTCTGGAAACTAGAAAAATCGGCTTATTTTTTTCCCCTTTTTTGGCCCCTAATTCCTAAAATTTTTAGGCAATTACCCCCAAAATCAATCCCAGCTTTCCCTTTTATGATATGGAACCTTGTGGTACAATGTCAGAGAGATCCATACACTAACACACAAGTTATGTCTGGAAGTAACAAATATGCTTATTTTTGGCCCCTTTTTGGCCCATTATTCCGTAACTGTTGGTACCATAACCCACAAAATCAATCCCAACCTTACTTTTGTGGTAGTGAACCTTATGGTAAAATTTCATAGAGATCCATTCACTTAAACTAAAGTTACAGTGCGAAAACCAATGTGTCTTCGGACGACGACGACGACGACGACAACGTCATACCAATATACGACCGCACAATTGTATTGCGGTCGTATAAAAACGATCAAAACGAAAGTATGAAGATGTCCTTCGTTAGGGTGTCCAAGTAATCATTCGTTTTTTTTTAAGCAAGATAATCAAATAATCAAATGGCAGTGGTCCGCACCCTGGGCCCGTTTGCACCCGTTTAGTTTTGTGTTCAATAAGTTTTAATCATACTTTAATAAGCGTATTGCTATAAGTATAACAACAAATAAAATAAGATTTTTTTATTTTTTTTAAATAAATTGTCATTCTAAAAACGAAAACAGGTTTTCTTTTGTGAATTATTACAAATTGGACGAAATGAATACTGATTATTGTCATGATTATCAAAGACTTATTCATTCGTCTCTAAGACTTTAAAAAGAGAGACAGAAGATTCCAAACGGCTTAGAAATTCTTCAAAGGCTGTAAAATAATAATCTTTCTTTTTTTATTACAAAATCTTCATTTTTTTAAACACCTACCAAGCTACCAAACCCATAACAATAATACCGAATTACTTTGTAAATACCAATTAACGGTAATCTTAAATAAACCAATAAGTAATCATCTAATCACAAAAAAAACACACAAAAAAAACACATTTATATAACATAACATGACATAATACATCAGAGAAGCAAATACTTATCTAGTGAAATCTGTTTAAAGGAATACAACTTTTATGTGCAAAGAACCTCACATTTCACTTGCTTCGTATGGACTGTTAGACTTACACCATTAAAACAGCACATTTTTCCCACTTTTTATGTTTTTATCTACTTTTCTTTGTGTTCAGAGTTCACAAATGAGTAAAACATCTAAAATAAATACCACAAACACAAATAGAAAATCAGAAAAAAACCTGTCAGAGAGAAAGGAAGCATGCTACTTTTGTACAAATTTGTAAGTTCCGCGGAACCCAGTGTCTCGCCTACTTTTGCTGTTAGTCGCAGGCTCAACAAAAATGTGGAAAAAATTATTAAAAATTTTCATCTAGATGCTATCTTTTGATTGTAAGAAGTTCTGTTCAAGTTTGGTAAAAATCCAAGATTTATGAATCTAATAAATGTTTTAAAAACTTTAACTGCAGACTGTACATAATGTTAACTGGAAAAAACTAAGTCTATTTATAAGTAATATACTGAAAAACAGGAAATAAAATTTTTACAAAATTTCGTTCTAGATACTAGCTTTTGATCATAAACAAGCTTCTGTCCAAGTGTGGTACAAATCCAGGATAGTTTAAGAAAGTTATTAAAATTTGAAAAACTTTAACCACAGAGTAAATGTAATGTTAACTGACAGAAAAACTAAGTCCATTTATGAGTAAAATACGGATAAACAGGATTTTTTTTTACAAATTTTACTTATGATCATAAACAAGCTTCTGTCTAAGTTTGGTTGAAATGCAGAATAGTTTAAGAAAGTTATTAAAATTTGAAAAACTTTAACCACAGAGTGAATATTTGTGGACGCCGACGACGAAGACGACGACGCCGACGGAATGTAGGATTGCTATGTCTCGCTTTTGCGACAAGTAATAAGTGCTTTTGATACAGATTCAGTGAAATCTGTTTAAAAGAATACAACTTTTATGTGCATAGAACCTCACATTTCACTTGCTTCGTACAGACTGTTAGACTTAGACCATTAAAACAGCACATTTTACACACTTTTTATGCTTTTATCTACTTTTCTTTGTGTTCAGATTTCACAAATGAGTAATATATCTAAAA